CCCCACTGCCTGTCCCGCCCCCCCAATGTTTCTGCCTTCCCTTACCTTCTGCTACAGCTCTGCTCTTCCAGGGCAGTCAGCACCAGCATGGCCGTGGCCTAGCCAGGGAGGAACAGCAGCAGCTCCAGACTTGGTTGGGGCTGGAGGTGCCAAGCAGAAGGTAAAGGGGTTGGGGGCATGGGATGAACATGTAGACATAGACATGGGGCAGACAGGCTACAGGTCCACCCCCACCCCCACAGTGTCTCTTACACTCCTTCCAGTACTGAGCCTCCTCCCCCACCAGATGAGCCATTCTGGCCTAGGGCAAGAAGACTCAGCTCCAGGTTCAGCTCCGAGTCTGGGGCCAAAGCTGGAAGTGAACCAGTGCCTGCCCCATGCAGGTACTTGAATCCCAAGATGAGCCTTTTCCCGCCCCCTGTATGCTGACTGGGGACAAAAACTGTCTTGGATTTGAGTAGATACGATATAGGCTTGAGTGTGTAAATAATTATAGCTTTACTACCTTGTATTCATTTGGATTGAAAGCTGTATTCTAGAATGACGTAAGATTGAGCAAGGGCTTGGGGCTGAGAGAACCTGTAGAACAGTTTGCGTCGCATTATTTGTCACCTTTTCCTTGATGCCCTGAAATTTGAATGAGACATTTCTGTAGGACCAGGGTTTACTCTGCCATTAAAGATTCTTCTATAGACTCTACAGTGAAAAGGAAGACAAGCTCGTTTTGAAAATGATCGTTAGATAAGTGAATTCTCCACAGGCTGAATAGGAAGGTTTAGTTGTTGATTAAAAAGTTAGTGTCATGTGAAATCCTAGTTTTACTGAAGTCAGTGCTAAAATTCCAGTTGAATTTTTCAAAAGAAACTATGTTTAATCCATCCATTATACTTTAAATATGAATACTCTATATTTCTTTAGCATAAGTTCTGCTATAAGAAACCAGAGCTGGTTTCACCTCTGTAGCCTGAAGGAAATGGCTAATTATCTACAGCTCAGAAAGAAAATGAATTGGTGTGACTGAAACCATCTTCCTCCTTAGCACAAAGGGGCGCATCTGACTAGTACAGGAAAAGCTTAGTGATTTCCTTTTGAATTACCTGGTATTCAATTTAAAGTAGAAAAGATCCTTAAGCTCTTTTTGTCTGTTACTAGATCAAGTGTTTTTGCTACAGACGGACTTGCTGATAAGGAAGACCACACACAGCTTGTTAAAAGCGGTAGTGTGTTGTGCTGATGTGAAGATAAGCGTTTCTGTCTTCACTGGTTTGGCCTGAGTGCTGGTGAAGCAGCAAGCAGAGTACATGAATAGTAAGGAAGACTGTTTCATGTAGCCAAGCAACCAGTTCAGGGTCAACACTGGAGGAAATTGTGTTCAGGTTCCCTCACGCAAAAGGCAAGTTTGTTAAAATGAGGTGGTCTCTTGAGGGGAAAATGGCAGAAGCCTGGACCGTCCTTCCATACCTACTATAAACCGGCTTGTTTGGTTTTTTTTCAGTTTTTCTGGCCATTTTGGTATTACCTCAGCCTAGCAGAGTGCCGAACTTTAAATTTAAGCAACATGCCAATTGTCTGTGCAGACAGCAGACAGAAAGACCTCTCCCTCTGGCCCCAAGGTCACTAAAGGTGTGGACATTGATGTCTCTATTATCCTAATGAGCCCGCCAAAAAGACAATAGATTCCAAGAGCATGCAGCTATTCTTGCAGCTACTTGTTTAAACGCTTGAAAGCAGAAGTCATTGGTATTTGGGAAATCATCTGGACTCCTAATAATCCATTGTAAACGGCAGTACTTGAGCCCTCTCAGCAGTACATGAGTCCTGTATTCTCATTTGCTGTCCAGAAAGAAGGAAAGACACTGTTTGCTATAGTTTGTATGCATCTTTGTTTGTTTTCTGTCTTGCATTTTAAAATTGACATTGTATGACTTCAAAGCATTAAAGCGTATTATAAAATACAGTGCCACATGACAGTTACTGCTTTGGTGTACAGATACTAAAATTAACAGAAGAAATTCCCAGGCTTTCCAGTATCATGTTGGAGAATATAAGACTTGTGTGTGGATTTAAGAGCTTTGGTCAAGGCTTCTACCTAGAAACATAAATAAGAATATTAGGAGAGGTGTGCAGAGTTCACATGTTTTTTCTGATCTTACTTGTGCTCTTCATGTTGCTCTCCCTAAGCACTTATACCTTGCCCAGACAGAAATATAGCTAGAAGGGACTTGGGGAGGTTATCTGACCCAGTCTTTCAAGAAACATCCCTCTCTCAACCATCTTAGACATAGGTTTGTCTAACCTGCACTTATATTAATTTACATGCACTATCTGCACTTAATCTAATGAGCTGGGGCTTTGCAAATATGACAGCTCACAAGGTTCTGAGTGTTATAAAGGGTGTGGTGGTAAATGTGTGCTAGTAATGGGTGAACTGAGGTGCTGAGTGGCCAGATGACTTTTTCTGGTTACCAAGTTGGAAATAAACCCCAGGAGTCCAGCTGTCGTCTTAATGTCCCCTCTAGCCTGCATTCCTTTTTTTTTTTTTTTTTGAGATGGAAATTCTAAAAGTTAGAAGCTAGAGGACACTCTTCACTTTTCTTTTCAGCTTAGTAAATTTCTCAAGGATGATAATGATGGGAAATGACCAAACCCAAAAAGGCAAAACACATAACTTGATATGCTGGTTGACTTTGTTTTCTATTGGATAGGCTAGTGTGGTCATAATACAGTGCTTGCTCTCTTTAAATAGTTTATTGCTATTTACTACCACTCAGAGAATGGAACTGCTTCACTAAGCCCTAATGGGACTAGCAAAGTAAGGCGCATAATAAAATCCCCAGTTTTGTGTAAGCACTTAATGTATCATATCTCTGCAAATTTCATAACTATGTGTATTGTTTGATGCCTATTATAACTTAATACCATGGCATGTTACATCTTTGTTGGAAAATGAAATTGAATCTTTTTTAATGGTGGGTAAAATGCTTGTTCATCTGTAAGTTGAATTGCACCATTGGTTCAAATGCATATCTGGTTTCCCCAGACTTCACACACATCCTTCCATTTTTTCAAAAAAACCTGTAATGCTGGCAAAAGTTTCTGCCAAAATCATGGATGATGGCCACTTTCTACCTGCTGAAAATAATTTTAGGATGATCATGCAGCTAACAGGAGCTGTTCAATATTACCACTGATTTGTTTCTCTGATCTCATTGGGTTTTGTAATATCGTTCAGCTTCATGGCACAAATTTATTTTAGCCATTCTTATGGACTGTTAATAAAGTCAGACCTTATGGCACTCCATTGACAGCATTCCCTAAATCAGTATCTTGCTGTCTGTTGTTGTTCTTTGTTTAATAGTCTTTTTACCAGTTTTCAGTCTCCATGTGACACTTCTTATCTAATCAATTCATATTAGTTTTCTAGTTCTATTTAATCATGATGATTTATATTGTGTGCTTTATTAAAAGGCAGATACATTACATTGTCATTAAAACATATTTATCTAGCATTACATTCCTTTGTGTTCAGAAATAGTATTCAATGGCTGTAAGAAGGTGGCCAGGGCTTGGGAGGTGGGCACCCAATTTTACTAGATAGGGAAATTATGTATTTTGGAACTGTAGATTAATACATAGGAGCATAGACATGTTAGGGACCTTCTGGGTCATTGAATCCAGTTCCTTTCTGTTGCAGGCAACCATGTCTTACACTCCATTTTGTAAATTTATCAAGCTGCATCTAAAAAGTGGTTAGATGTTTTGCCTGCACTATTGGAAGGCTGCTTCAACCCTGCTGTTCTGAGAATTGAAAACCTTCTAATTTCCAGCCTAAAATGATTCATGGCCAGTTCATACCCATTTTTTCTCTTCGTCTGTAGCTTAAACTCAGGGTGCTCAACACCCGGCCTGCAGGTCAGATCCAGCCCCTGGATCACAGGGAGCCTTGCAGACCACGGCCCTGTGTGCTTGATCAGGTGCACAGGGTTGTATGGGCTTAATCTGGGCATATGGGGGCAGCACAGGGCCCTAGGGCCTGACCCCAGTGTGCAGGGACTGGCTGAGGCTGTGTGGGATCCAATCCTGGTGTGTGGGGTCTGATCAAGCATGTAGACCAGCCCCACAGCATGCAAAACGTTGAGCACCACTGGCTTAAATAGCTCTAAGCTGTACAGTCCAGTACTGCTTCTCTTGTCTGTATATCTGTATTAAGGCAGTCTGTTTTCTTATATTTTATATTTTCATATTTTAGACTCCATGACAGGAAGATGTGTATAATAGGCCTGAGCATCCTAATGGAGTTGCAGAACCGGCCCCCTGCAGTAGATGCTGTGGCTGCTCAGATTGTTCCTTCAATCCTTCTCTTATTTCTGGGATTAAAGCAAGTGTGTGCATCACGCGAGGTCACAGTACCTGAAGAGCATGCTAAAGATGAAAAGCACGTTGCAGAAGACAATGGTAAAATCTCTCCTTTTCACATAGTGTATTTTGTCTGGATTTAATTTAAAGGGCATATGCAATTGCCATTCATTGTAAGCCTTTAGCTAGTCTGCTGGATTATCTATGGCTTGGTTTCCTGGGTGTATCCTCTTTTGAATTGATCCGTACTCCTAATGTTAATGCCAAAGCCTTTTCTGAGTATGTATGTGCAACTTTCCAGAAAGAGCAGTATTATTTTCAAAATAAAAGTTGCAGAACTAGGGAACCTGCTTTGTACACCAGTATGCAAGAGAGACCTAGCTTTTCACTCGCAGGCCAGCAGGAATTTGGTAGTGCTATAGTAACAACATTCTTGGTCCCTGGAAAGAAACAGTCCCCAGTAGCCTCCTCTTCAGCTGTTTAAAGAGTAAGGTTAATGGACTTGGAAGGGATCTCTAAGGAATCCTTCCTCCCAGATGGAGGCTGGCACAAGCAGTGAATAGATTGGCAAGGCAGAGATTGAGATAACCAGGGATACTGGGATGAGGAAACATGAAATTGAGAGAATTTGCTCCTGAGGAAGATTAACATGACAGATATTTGTGGATATGTGTAATTTGCTATACCTAGCTCCTCAGGTTAGGAAGGGTTACAATGAATTGTATTTAGACAGTAACCATTGCAAACGTGATTGTGCTGCAGTTGAGCTGCCTCCTTTTATTACAGCTCAGGAATTCAGTATGGTAACTACATAGTTGTTTTCACTGGCTGTGTGCTCCTAACCTCCGTGCCTTGTAATTTGCCTTCCAAATCATTCTCCCCATTGCCAACACAACATATTTTGTCCAGCTGACAAAAGAGAAACATGCTTTCAGCTTCAGTTATGTCTAAAAATGTTATCTTAAGTCAGTTAGCAATATTTGGAATCATAGTTCAGGACATGGTAGTCCTGAGTTGTGCACTTAAATTAACTATTTAAAACCCTACAGCACTCCTCTCAAGCTTGAGAATGATACAGATGAATATCCATTTTTTTTACAAGCACTATTAAATACGTACATTCTTGTGGATATAATGGTCTCATATGGTGAACCAGTAAAGCGGCTCTTTTTGAGTTAATTATTTTGTAAAATCCTTGCTTATGTTCATATAACATTTTTAGGTTATCAAAACTGAGTGAATATGCAATTAAAGAAGCACTGTGAAGGTTAGGTAATAAATTTGATGGGCATTTTTTCTCTCTCTACCTGATATCTGTTTATAAAATCCATGTGAATCTTTATTTACTGTATTTACTAAACAGTAAAATGACAGTTTACTTTTATTAATATCAAAAAGGAAACTTGTTAAAAGTCTCAAGTTCCTGAACACTCTCATAGGCACAAAATAATTCTCTTATAAGAACAGTTTTTAGGTTTCAGAATTCTCAGACATTATTAGTAAAAAGGTAACTTTAAAATTGTATAAAATACCATGCAGAACCCCTTTGTTTGGTTTTTCTTTTCTCTCTCTTTCTCTCTCTCTTTTAAGTGTGGCCCCTTCAGACATATTTTGTTTCTTAATATTTATGTAATCCATGTAAGCATTATTTTAAAAAACCCAACACATTAACCTGTTTACAGAAGAGATCCCAAGTGATGAAGAGGAGACCAATGAAGTGGGCCAGGCAATGCAGGAGAATCATGGAGGAGGTGGTGGCGGAGGAGGGGATGAAGCTGATGATGAGGATGACGATGACGATTGGGATGAAGATGCATTAGAAGAGACTGCTCTAGAAGGATTCAGTACCCCTCTTGACCTTGAGAATGGTGTAGATGAATATCAGTTTTTTACACAAGCACTGTTAAGTATGTACATTCCAGCTCTACTATCATAAACCAGTATAGAGGCATCTTTGTGTTTAAACATTTTGTAAAAGTCTTACTTACTTTAATGTAACATCTTAGATTACCCAGACTGAAAATAACTGATGAGCTTGTTTGCGTGTTTTCTTCATCATTTAAGCTGTCATTCCTATTTGAATGTCCCTTAGCTTAGATGTTTGAAAAATAATCAGACTTTCTGCTAGTCAGCTTCGCTTTCTAACTCTCTTATTCTAACGTAACTCTGGAGTCTTTGGGTAGTGAATACTGAGGGGAATGTTCAGTGATCTGTAGACATCAAACTGAAGTTCTAATTGAAAATGGGACTCTGTCATGTTTTCTCTCACAACTTTGGAAAAAAATGTAAGTGAATGGCCCTAAACTATTTAAAAATGTGCTTTGAGTAGAGTATAGCTGGATGCTTCAGTCAGTACCCTAAGAAAGCAATGTTTCTCCTTTGCCTAAGTTCTAAAACTACAGTAATTTTTAATTTTAAAAAGAGTCTCTTAAATTAAATACTTGCATTCTCACCATAGAATTGTACTGGACTATGAATATTCGACACAGATTGAAGCACATTAATTTCCTATTGCAGGAAAGCACTTGCTTAATAAAGAGCTCCCCAGACTTGACCCCTTTGAGAAACAAACCACCTTCATTTATGTTGTAAGAAGCTGACAGGGATGTTAACCTGTGTTGAGATACAGGTCCTTTTTTAACCACATGCAGGGCATGTGTACACATCCCACTATGGAGTTGTTACTGCGCCATTTTTTAGTATTCCCTTTTGGTTATTTTTAGGCACTACTTTGCCATAGCGATGCATTATAATGGGGGGAGTGCGTCGCTACTGAAACATAGCTGTGGCATCACAGGTTTTGCCTGCGGATGCTACATCACCATAGGCGTGTAGATGCACCCACAGTTATCTTTATTTATGATTTTCTTCTTCCTGTCTCTCTCTTCTTACGTTCTTCTGAAGTGTAGGCTGGTAATTAGGCCTGTGCGAATAGGAAAGTATTCAATTCAGATTTGGATTTGGCTGATTCAGAGGACAGTGATTCAATTTGGTGATTTGAATTGCTATTCCCATTCGATTCAGCCAAATCAGAATCAGAGATTCGGCACTGATTCTGAGATTCGTATCTGCTGGGGAGAGGCAGGCACAGCTGGGCGGCTGCAAGTTCTCCTGTGGCTCCTTCAGCTGTGTCTGCCTCTGCCTGGATGGGAGGAACTGCAAGAGAAGCCCGCATGACTGCCCTGCCTGGCCCCATCCCCTGCCCAGCCCAGCCTCCCAGCACTTAAAAAAAAAAAAAAATCCCCCCACACACCAGCTGCAGCAGCGGGGATCAGGGCCTCTGAGGGCTTATGGCAGAACCCCCCTGCACAACGCAGCAGCTGCCATGGGACGGGTGCAGTGCAGCTTGGCAGGGCGCTGCGTGCTGTCTGGGAGGTGGGGCCAATCCTAATCCCCGGCTGATCTGAATCTCCAAATCTCTCCAAATCTTTTCCAAATCGAATCGGAGACTTCAAATTTGATTTGGACCTTTTAATGGGTCTCCTGATTGGGATTCAGAAATTCAGCCACCAAATCAAGCCAAATCTCCAAATTGGTAATCACTCTTCACTCCTTCTTTTGACAGCGGTGCAGAGCCGGGATGCAGCCTGGTACCACTCACTAACAGCACCACTTAGCGATGATCAGAAGAAACAGCTTCAAGAAATTTACACACTGGCAGAACAGCGGCGAAATGCAGCAGGTCAGTCATTTCTGGGGCTATTTTATGTGTTGTAGGAACTCCAGGACTGTATATAGAAGTGTTACAATTATATAACATGCACATGCATGCACTATATAACATGTGTCTGTATATAGTGTTGAGCCTGGGTCTTAGGTAAAACTTAACTATAAATTATGTGTATTCCTGTGCTGACCCTCTGCTCTGAGGTTGTGTTAGAATCATAGAAAAGTAGGGCTGGAAGGGACCTCCAGCAGAGTGGATTTGATTTAAATCAAATTTAAATCATGATTTAAACCACAGTTTAAATCACTGGTCAGGCCACCTCAATTTAATTGTTTTCTACAAAAACATTTCTGTTGTTTGATATCCTTTATTCATTTAACTTCTTGAAAATTTGCACTTTTAGAGAAAGGTAAGGGCTTGACTGTGTGTACACAAGCTTGCAAAGAGACAAGAAGGCTGATCAGTGGGTAATCAGGTCTGTTGTCTCTCATCTCCCTATACTGCTGTCAGCAATGACGTTATCTCTGGAGACGACAAACTCTTCCTCTGCCTGAAGAAGGGCATGTGTGTCCAAAACCTTGCAAAGAACAATTTTTCCAACTATTTACTTGGTCCAGTAAAAGATATCACATCTAGACAAAGTACCTTGTCTGTCTATGATCTTTGGAGACACAAATCCACAGTTTGAGAACTGAAACTAAGCATTACAGAGATGCTTAATGGGATCTTCTAAACTGAGCATTAAGTCCCATTGGGTAGAGTGGTTTTCTTTGATTTTTACTAATCTATAGAGGAGCCTCTGGGAACCCCATAATATTGGGCCCCTGATACGGCCCGTGGCTTGTTGGTGTGACTTATTTATAAAACTTCTAAAAAGGTTACAAGAATATATTGTCTCAAACAATATATAATTAGAAGTTATTATCCCTATTCCATGATAATATCTTTGAGCTTTAACATATAAATTAAAACTATCTTTATATAAGTTTATTTTTAAAGTATCTTAAAAATAAAAAATATGATTAAATAAGAAAATATGATTTAAATTTAAAAAAAATCCAACCCCCTGCCTGAGGCAGGTTCATTTATATTCTTTCAATTGGTTGACTCCTCTCTGGCAGATGGAACTCTTTAAATAGGGTCTGAGCTAGATTTTCAGATTCAAATTGTTTAAGTGGAGAGTCGATTAAGGCTGTCACAAACTGTTAGCCATCCCTGTGTTCAAGAGTATGATAAACCATAGTATATTTAATGCATTTAATGTTTTGCCACTAAAAGTACTTATTCATAATAAATAGACAAAAAGAGACCTGCATTGCTGGAAATAAATTCTCGTGCAGAGTAGTGTCATGTATAGTTATTCTACAATTAAGTCATCTCTCAGTCTCTGTTCAGAGCTACATGTCTGTGTTTATATGTTAAATTGTAGTAATAGATTATATTTTTTATTACTGCAACTGCATGCTAAGACTGAAGCTTTTGTGGCAGCAGAGAGAGTTTGATTCATAATCTTCTTCTTCTGAGCAGTGCTGTGTAGAAGAGAGAGATTTGCCCCACATAAACCACTTTTACATCTTCTTTTTCTTTCTGTCAATTTTAGAGACTAAGACTATAGAACAACAAAGTGGCTACACATTTGACAACAAAGGACTCATCCCATCATTTAACTTTGGTGGAAGTGCTCCTGGTGGCAACTGAAGGAGAAGCTGTAAAGGACTGTGGGAAGGGTCTCATCATTGCATTCTTATTCTGAGTGGTTAGGGGAGGGTAATGCTATGCTGCAGAAGGCTCCCTGGGATACAGTGGTGCACTTCCTCCACCAGAATGCTCTTTCTAACCAGCTACTGTAATGTACAAATTCTTGTGGTGTTTTTTTTTTTAATTTGGTGGACTGAAAAGAAAGTGTCCTGTCCTCAAGGAAACTGAATGACTGGGAGGGGCCCAGTTGAATCTAATTGAGTTGCACTTCTCAGGTTTTTGCCGTGCAGAATTGCTGGATTCATATGGATAACAGTGCCTTCTGTTGTACATGGATTGCCTGAACAAATGAATTTTAGAGCGCATTGTAATTTTTTAAGTGTAAGGACATTTCTAGATACACTGTAAGCCTTTGTTTCTTGTTTTCCGGTTATCTGCCTTTTATTACATGACTTAGTTATATGTCAGTGGCATACACATTGCTGGATTAAAAAAAAATCATCTCAGCTTCCCTATTTGATGCAAAACTTAGTGTTGGGAAGTGTCTTTGGGAATTGTAAAACATACACTGGTGGTGTCAAGGGTTCTTATTAATATGCAGATCTTCTACAATCTTCTTAAATTATTTCCATTAGCCTCCAACTCAGCCCGTGTCCTTGAAACCTGTCTGCTGAAGGTACCCATTTTGAGTTGTAATGACACTCATGACCTTGCAGATTCTGATCCCAAACCAGCACTGATACTAACTTCCATCTCCACAAATGGTGTCAGTGATCAAGCCTTTGCAAGTAGATGTTCTGCTGGACACCTTTGTAGTTTCAGGTTTCTTGCTAAATACTGAGCTTTACAGATTCACACAGATTCGTAGACGTTTAGGGCTGGAAGGGACCATGTGGGATCATTGGGTCCAGCCCCCTTGCTCTGGGCAGGAAAGACTGCTGGGGTCAAATAACCCCAGCAAGGTGAGTATCCAGTCTCCTTTTGAAGATCTCGAGGGTAGGTGTCCACTGGGAGTCTATTTCAGAGTCTGGTCACATGAACTATTTGGGGATCCTGGAAATTCCTTTTAGTTTTTTTAGTAACTCATCATTCCAGCTGTAGTACTGAGCAAATAGAGTCCAAAACATTTAGAGCAATAATTTATCTTAATGGAGTGGGGGAAAACCCTCAAATCCTTACTCTTGTATATGTAAATTTCTGCTCTACATTCCATGTGGCCCTTCCTACCCTGTGTTGACATTTGGTCACCTGTTTAATTTTTTTGAGTTTAAAGGATTAGTCTCATATATTCGGAATGTATAACTGGGTGTTTGTTTATTTGTTTGCAAAACTTGTCTTTAACCAGACACCAAGTAAATATTGATTTGCATAGAACCCCCTTTGCTCTGACTAAGGAGTTAACAAGGTGAAATGATAGTGTTACTTAAAATGGTTAAGCGTTTTAAAATGAGGATTGGCGATAGAATCTTTAGTTCAGATTTTGTGTCTTTGTGCGTGTTCATTTGTTCAGGGCCCAAAAATATTTACTAGACAACTGTTAACCGGAGACTAACACGTAGAGTTGATGAGCCTTCTGTCTGGAATGATGCCTGCGTGAAAAAACTTGGCCCCTCCTTCCCCTTTCACCACAACCTCTGCTATTGCAGTGGGTTAGAAGGTGCCAGACCTGGATCCTGTTCACAGCATTCATCTTTTATACTAACCTCTAGGCTGTAGATGTCTGATAAATCTGAAGCCCTCTCTTACCTGGCTGCTGGAAAAAGAGCATTCTCTCTTCTGCCCCCAAATCTTTACTGCACGGAGGTAGAAGGTCCTCTACTACCTTACCCATTCCTGAGCCTTATGTTAGGTGCACTCCAGAGCTGATCTCTGCTCCAGCTTTTACAGACTTTTCAAAGCAGCTGCCAAGTAAAAATAACTTGAATCTTTTCAGTTTTTCACTACTGTATCCAGATTTCTGAATAGCAGCTATGAAAATTGCTGTGACTTTTTGACATGTTTTTCCTTTGCTAAAGCATGAGAAAAGTTTGAAAGCTATGGCAGTGTGAATCTTCAAAAATGACAATTTTTTTTACTGATCAATATGAGATCCTTAAAAAGGCTTCATTATCAGATGACAGATGCTTGATCTTTTTTTTAATAATCAGGCACTTACATCATTTGTCACTTGAAAATGTAGGCCTGGAAATGTCTATTTTCAGTGTTAGGACAGTTTTACATCACTCTAGGTTCAATTTAATCTGCGTTTCTTTGAAACCATGGAAGCTAGAACCTTCTTCACAAATTTTAAAAACATTCTTCAGAAGTTGATGGCATTGATTTCCCTACCCACAATAGACAACAGAAGCGTCTTTCCCCTCAGTAGGGATTAGGCAAGTATAATTCTTTGTTTATTTATAAAATGGTAGATTGTAAGGGAAATTTTCTTCTAGCCCTCTCCCCGCCAGAACACAGGGGGGAAAAGCTAATTCAGACACTGGCATAGTCCCAAGCTAGCTTTTAGGAAGTAATATGTTCAGGCAGAAATCTACTCTTGCGTAGTGGCATCTTTATGTCCACCCACTTAAACCCTGGTTGCTCCCAAACTCTGCTTCTTGTATACTTTTCAAATGAAATGCCAAGGAAATTTCATCCAGATGTTTCTTTCAGTGGGTTTTGATCTGCAGTGTGGTGTCTGGAATCTTTGCTGCCTATTTCACAGTTTGGGTCAGAGGTGATGTCTTAGGGGACAGTGCATCAAAAGGGTTAATAGCTCTCCCTTTCCCAAGAGATTCATGAGCAAATGTTTCCCCTGGCAAAAGCAAACATTAATTATTTTATTCCTTTTTTGAAAAGGGATTTCATTGAAGATGATGTATGGGGCCCCTAGCCTCCCCCTTTACATGTGGTTCTGTTTTAACATGATATGTGTACATTTATATATGATCATAATAGGTAAAGTAGTCTGGGGCTTTTCCTGAGTTGTGTCCAGCTTGTACTGTGTTAAAGGGACCTGTCTTTGAAGCCAAGGTAACCACGAAATATCAGATACCAGCAACAGCAACAGTGGACTGAGCATGATCTAATTCTCTTTGAAAATGCAGAGACTTATGAATGTATTGTAAAATAAAACAAAGGCTGATAACCAGTAACTTGTATTGCCCTGTGCCCATGCTCACTGATGTGTGAAAGTGATTATATGGATGCCATGGGAGCTTATGTATTAAATTAGCTTTGTGTAGGTAATTCTAGCAAGTGTAAATTTATATGATAAGCTTCTTTTTTTCAGATAAAATTAACTGGTCCTGGGTGTTGAATTTCAAATGCTGTTCTGTCATTCTTAAAAGGAAAATAAGACTAACCAGAAGTTTTGGTTTTCTCTTTTTACTCTGGTGTCTTTTCTCTGAAAGGGGAAGAACATGGTCTGCTATCACAACAAAGCAAAACTTATAACTATAATGACTAGCTCCAGGAAAAAAGCAGAATATTTGACTGGAGAAAATGAGTCTGATTAAAATTGACATGTTATAGCCAAGTCTGAGACAAAACATGTCAACAATACAATACCGAGTGACAATGTGACATTTTTTCCTTCAGAAGGAAAAGGGCTTTTCTGGTGAGAGAACTATAGAGCTAAAGGAGTTACTCCTTTAGAGTTTACCATTTGTCCATGTGGAAATGTTCAGTCTATTTGGTGGACTGATGGATTACATAAACTATTAACAGACAACAGCAGATATGAGGACTGCAGGATTCTTGAGCCCTACAAGGTGCCTTGAGGCCCTTGTTAGCTTGATGAATCCTGGACAGCATGCTTCCTTAGTGCTCTCTCTGGTTTCTTCCATCAAACCTGCAGCCTCAGAGGGTGTTCTGAATGGGTAGAAAGGTTAAAAAAACAACAACAAAAAACAAAGTCTTAAAAGATTATAGCTGTGGGTCTCGTGCAGCCATCTGATCATGAGTGTCTGTTTCTAGAGCCAGACCTCTCTTTTGTCAAACACAGACAATACAAACATACTGACACCCTTCTTGACTGTAGCATGAGAGAAACAGTGCTTCCATAGTTAGTTCCTAATATGGACAGGTGTTACAGATCCCAAAATTTACTTGGAGATGTGTCTTCTCTCTCCTTGAATTTATCTTTTCTAAAAGTTGAGGTAAGAGTGTACTTACCAGAGTACAGAGTCCTAATTGCAAGAAAGGCCAGTCTCCCTAAATGGGAGCTTATGCATGACCAGGAATCAATCTGGAACAGAAAGAAGTAAAACGAAGTAAAAATAAGTAACCTTTTTGAGAGAACTATTCTGGCACATGTCCACGAGGGGC